AAAAAAAAATTGGTCAGAAAGCCAACTGACTGTTATCTTTGGCAAATCATGTCATCAATATTGCTTTGTCACTGCAATCTTCTTGGTGATGTCTATAAGCTGCAGCAAATGGGACTGGATCCAAGGTTACAGTTACCATCCTAATTCCAGAGAAGCTTTTAAAACAAACAAAGCAAATATATCACATTCGATCAGTGAAGTGTGTGTTCATCCTATATTTTATAACTTCTTGACTTAGGAAGAAAAGAAACTTATTTTCCAGACCTTCAATATTCTTCTGGTGTGGTCTTACTTAGTTGCACTTCATTATACCTTCAGAATGACTGAAGATTATATATGTATGGAAACAGATTTTCTGAGAATGAAGCTTTCCTGGCCGTATGACATGCACACATAATTCTCAGTGACAGTAATGGGACAGTAATAGACCACACAACGCACAAAACATATTTTCCATAAGGAAACCCAGGCAGCATGTGGAAATTCCATTGCTTCTTTGCAACAGTTTAGAATCCAGCTGGCAAAATGAAGTCTTTGTAAATGGAACCATCTCCATGGGTTGAAAGAGTTAACTGTTTCCTCTGTCCACAAGTTCTTTGCATATAAGTCCCACTGGTTCTAACCAAAGGTCCTTCAGGGAATATTTATTTATTTACTGTGGATGAAAGTAACAAACAAACTTTAGAATACCAATTCCCAAATTAAAAATGTTCTGGTCTCAGAAAACAATGGTCATTAAAGTCCCTTTCCTGGATATTTCCACAGCATTTCATTCTTCTATTACATTAAACCAAATGTGTCAGACTCATGTAATCCAATACTGGGTACTGGACTAGCTATAGCTCTCAAAGGTGTCAGCCTGATCTCAAGCCTAATGCCTGGGAAATTTTCTAGAGAGCCTGCAACGAATAGGATCTTTGACATGGCAAAGCAAATGTTCACTCCACAGCATTAGTGGCCCAGTCACAGAGACATCTTGGTTGCATAAACCAACTGTGACTATGACAGTATGGGGAAAGATGCTGAATACACGGTGAATTGGACGCAGGCTGTTCAACGTTAAACAAAGCAAATCCAATTGTATAGATGAACACAATATGAGTAGCATATTGGATACTTAAACATTTCATAATTTCTAGAACTTCAGGATAATAGGTATGCTATTTTATTCATTTAACCTCTTTATAGGTTCTGTAGGAGGCAAATTTATTATTTAATATTTATAAATTACCCCATGATGTGGAAAAGTTACAGTGCTATATTTTTTCTGGCAGATGGGTGGCCATTCAAGCATATTTAATGAATAAATAAATCTTAACATTTTTATATTTTATAGAAGAAACAGGAAAAACGATAAAGAAAAAATAGAGCATATACTGAACATAGAAGCCAAAACAGGAGTTCAATTCTTAAATAAAGCAGAATATTCTTCATTGAGTAGTATTTTGTAAAGAGGAATTTGAGGGAACATTTATCCAAACAGTAGATTATAGAAACTGTCAATGCATTGTTAATTCATACATTTTTTCTGTTGATCTTGGACACATTCATCCTTCTTGCTGTATGTTGGTTTGTTCCTACTGAAATTTTGTCTTTGCAGGTTCAGATTTCTTATATGGCAAATCAGCAACTAAATGTTCCAAAGGTTCTATCTACTCTAGCCATGTCATAAACAACATAGATACTCTGAAAGATCCTCAACTTTTCCTCCGCAGCATGCCGAATGCCATCCGATTTGGAGGCCATCATCCAACACTATTTCCTTCATTTTCTCATGCCTATCCATGTAGTTTTCTTTGCCATTGTCAATAAGATAATATCTGCCCACCCCCCATGCATCTTCCTATGTCACTGCTCCCTGATAGAGGTACCTCCTGATTGCTGGGATGACCTTCACATCATGGACGATCCTGCTGGGAATAATCTTGGCATACACCTCTTGCCATCCTTTATTCGTCCCTCTCAGGAACACTTACACACAATTGCACAACTATTATGAGACATAACAACTTAGAGTGAGGTTGAAAAGACAGCAAGGGAAAAAGAGGACAAATGGTTGCATATTTCTCTGCTGAAAAGTAAGGATGTTTCTGAAGATGACTCTGAAGCTCAGCCATTACTTGGACACAATTGCTGGATCTTTTTCCTTCCTTTCCTATCCTGCCAAGTAATGTCTCTCCCTAACTCCTTTCTGTTGCAAGAAGGAAAGATGATGATGATGTTGACTGTGGTGTGTGTGTGTGTTTGTGTGTGTGTGTTTGTACCTGGAATTGTTTGTCTTCTGCTTTTTGTCTTGCTTAGAAGCCAGGAAGGCAAGTTTACAAAATTTTCTTTCTGCAACTCATAGAAGAGAACCTTTAACTGATAAATTCTGTAGTGGAGAGTAGAATATCATAAATTGTGTTTAAACTTGAGCTTGATCCAAATGCTTTCCTGGGTCAGTTTTCACCCTGTTACCTTTGCAGCTCCTCTCTTCTTTTTCCCATGACCTTCTCTGCAATAATCCCCTTTCCTATGGACATTTCTTTAATTTAGAACGAATGAAGGGGCAGATTTGATATGAAATGGTTTGTGAAAATTTTGAGCTTAGCCTGCATTACGTGCCTCCTGACTATTTTTAAAATGCCTGCGGACATTATCATTTCATCCTCATCTGCTGTTTCCCCACCTCCAGTCTGCTCAAGACTTACAAAGTAAACAAAGATACTTTTGTCATCCTGCATAAAATTGGGTACCATTGGATAGTCAGATGACAGCAATAATTCTCTTTCTACAAAGATTATCCTAGGTCCAATCTCTGGTATATTCAGGCAGGGATGGAAGTTCTTGCCTTGAATCTTGGAAAACTAATTTTGGTTAGCAAAAACTCCCTCCCCCATTTATCATTTTTGCCCTCCAAGAAGAGACTTGGAGCACACATTTGTGTATCTGGAGAACTTCTGTTGAACATCTAGGGCAGAGGTCCGGAACCGTTCCTGGTTGGCGGCCCTGAGGGAAAGAGAGGATCAGGCAAATTTACATGTGCACGCGCATGCGCAAACAGGCCGCTTGGACCATGGCAGTGCTAGCACCCAATTGCATGGGCAAACAGGGCTGCTAGTGCCCATGTGGCGGCTAGCCCCCTTGCGGCGGCACTAGAGCAAGTGGAGGCGAGTGTGTGCACATGTGGGCGCACTCGCCAGCCATTCCTGCGGCCCAGTGGCTAGGGACCCCTGATCGAAGGCACAAATCCTCAGTGGGAGAGACGAGGTTGTAAATGGTCCTGATAAATCAGTTTCTTCACTTAGTGCTTGGGAAAGGTCCTATCAGGCACACCTTTTACATTTCAGAGAGTTGGAAGGAATTTTATACATAATCAGCCACAAACCTCTAGTCAGTGAATATGTCACCACAGAAAGTTGGGTAATCTCTAGTTGAAGTCCTGCAGCAATTACATCACCAGTCTTGGGGATTTGTTCCACTGACAAAGCATCCTGTAATTTAAACCTATTAGATTTAGATATGCCTGTTTGGGTAGCAAAGAGCAAGTCTTTTGTTCTCTTCCATGTGATAGTCTTTCTGATATCTGAAGAGTGTGATTCTGCCCCTCTCTTTCCAGGCTAAAGATAACTAGTTCCTTCAGATTTCTTTTTTTCATGAAAATTGTTTTATGAATCATGGACATTCTTCACTGCTTTCATTTATAGTATTCTTAAAGGTTCCCAGAAATGGAGTCAATACTGTATTCTATATGAAAACTGATGAACACAAAATATAGAAATACAACTTCTTATGACTATAAAACTACAATTGTATCAATGTCAGCCTCTTTTTTCCCCCCTTTCTTTAAAGCACCACCAGACTGCTGTTTCCACATATACAGGATTCAAGCCAAGAATCTCTTTTCCCTTTGCTTTTGGATTCATAATTCTATTAAAGTTGTACTTGAATTGCATTTCCAAGGGTTTAGCACTTCCTACAAAGTTCTGTCACCTGCAAGTTTGCCAAAATGCTCTGGGAGACCAACTGCATCATCAGAAGAAGCATCATCAGAAGAACCGTCCCCTTTCTGCAGAACATATTGCAACTAAACATGGTGTGCTCCGGCTCCATTGTCCCAGTCATTTCTTCAAGGAAAAGGAAAAAAGCGAAATAGTTTTTTTTCAATGACAGAGAGAACGTTCTTGCATAAAATGGGAAGGGATCCCCAGAATACCAGAAACTGCTCCAAGAGCCTCTCAGCACAGAACTTCCCTAACCCATCAAACAAAGAAAGCTTCATGTAACTGCCGTCCACCCTTCCCTGTGCAAACTCTCCTGAATTCTTCAGCCGTCACTTTTTTTCCTCCCCCCTTTTTTTTCTTCATATATCCGGCAAGCCTTACTGCTGATAATGCTCATGAATAAACAGCATTCTCAGCTTCAGGGAATCAGGCCTCCCCCATCCGAATCTCTCTCTCTCTCTCTCAAAAAGGAGCTAAACCGAGCCAAAAAAGGCGAGAGCAGGAGGGGTTTGGGAAAGGCCGTGCGTTGAGGGGAAGGAGGGAAGCGAGGTGGGAGAAGGAAGCCCTGCGCTTTAACTAGGATCAATGCGGTAGAGGATTCCTCTCCAGCGTTTGCAAGGAAGTCTGAGGCAATTAGTCCAGTCAGTAGACAGCCTGCAGTCAGCCAGTCTGGGCTGCTCCTCGTGCCTCGCAAGGAATGAGAGGGGAGAGCTGTAAGAATAAATGTCCGGCGACCTCTGCAGTTGGGGCTTCTTCTCTGGAAAGAACGTTTTCTTCTCTTTTTTCTCTTTTTGCTTCTCCTCGGGACACCCTGTGATTTGGAACGCCCGGGCTTTTTTTAATTATTATAATTTATCTTTTTTTAAACTAGCCGATTAAAACTGCGGCTTAATCATTTTTCACCTCGGCGGTTTAAGGAGTTTGGGTGTGGGTGTGTGTGTGTGTGCGCGCGCGCGCGCGGGTGAACGGACGGACGGACGGAGGCGTTTGCCTTGCGGTCGGCGAAGGCGGGGAGCGATGGGGTTTGAGCTGGATCGCTTCAGCGGGGAGGTGGATCCCGATTTCAAATGCAATCTCTGCAACAAAGTTTTGGAGGACCCCCTCACCACCCCTTGCGGTCATGTGTTCTGCGCCGGCTGCGTCCTGCCGTGGGTCGTGCAACAAGGCAGTTGCCCGGTGAAGTGCCAGCGGATGTCCACCAAGGAGCTGAACCACGTCCTGCCCTTGAAGAGCCTCATCCTCAAGCTGGACATCAAGTGCGCCAACCGCGAGCGGGGCTGCGAGAAGGTGGTCAAGCTGCAGCACTTGGCCGAGCACGCCGAGATGTGCGACTACTCGCCGGCCAAGTGCCGCCACAAGGGCTGCGCCGAGGTGCTCAACTTGCGCGACGTGGACGCGCATATGCGCGAGAGCTGCGAGGCCCGGCCGGTGGGGATCTGCGAGCAGGGCTGCGGCTTGGTGCTCACCCACCGCGAGCGCAAGGCCGGCTCCCACTGCTGCCTGCAGGCGCTCAAGGCGCACAACGGCGCCCTCCAAGCCAAACTGGCCGGCCTGGAGAAGGAGCTGAAGAAAGAGGCGCTGCGGGCCGGCAAGCGGGAGAAGTCGCTCCTCTCGCAGCTCTCGGCCGTCCAGCTCGAGCTCCAGATGACAGCGCTGCGCTACCAGAAGAAGTTCACCGAATACAGCGCCCGCCTCGACTCGCTCGGCCGTAGCCTGGCCGCTTTTGCGCCCAGCAAGGTGAGTCCGACGGGCGGGCGGCACTGTGCCCCCCCCCCCCCGGGCTGCCTCTCTCGCCCTCCATCCCGTTCTCTGCACCCCCTTTTTTTTCCCCCTCAAGTCACTTGTCCTCTCCCGGGACGCCCCAGAGGGAGGGAGATGACAGATGTGTCTGTAAAGAAGGGTGAGAGTTAGACAGAGATCGGTGGTGGGGGGGGGGGCTAAACAGATTTCAAAGAAAAGACTGCCACCAAATGTCTTTGGAGCGTCCGCCCTGGCATCTGATCAAATGGCCTGTGGCCCTAAGAAAGCAGAGGACCGCAGTAAAAGTTGCACCCCTCAGCATTTACTTCTGAGCATTCATGGATAGGATTGCTCTGCAGATATGTGAGCTCTGAGCTACCTGAAGGCCTCTCTGATGGGTGTATGTGTTTGTAGCTTCCTCAAAATCTCTTGCAATTCAGATCTGTGGGATGCCCCAGTCATTGGAAGCTTGGTTACACAACCCAGTATTTGTTTTTTTTTATTATTATTATTTCCTTCCTTTCCATCTCTTTCTTTCTTTCTTTCTTTCTTTCTTTCTTTCTTTCTTTCTTTCTTTCTTTCTTTCTTTCTTTCTTTCTTTCTTTCTTTCTTTCTTTCTTTCTTTCTTTCCTTCCTTTCTTTCTTTCTTTCTTTCTTTCCCTCCCTCCCTCCCTCTCTTTCTCTTTCTCTCTCTCTTTCTTTCCCTCCCTCCCTCTTTCTCTTTCTCTCTCTCTTTCTTTCCCTCCCTCCCTCCTTTTGCCAGACATTACATACCAAATGTTCAGGCCCCTTTTATGCACCTCTCATATTCATCCCTGCAGGATAAACTCTTTTGAATGTGGTCACCTCCAAATGTGCCAGGCCTTTAACATTCAAGTGGGGTCAGGAATAGTTTGGCACAAATGTTTTGGTGAGAGGAAACATCCCTCTTGGGGGGCAAAACAAAACAAGACCCTGGGGTGGCCATACGAGTGCCAGACTTTTGGCATCCTGTATCTGTAACCTGGGGATCAGCAAACAAATCAAGGCAGAACGAAGAGTGAGGAGACAGGATATTTGTTGTTTATTTTCTTCTCTCTTCCTTATTAGTGAGAGTTGGAGGCAGAGAGCTCTCTCTCCTCTTTTCTTTGAAATCTGTTTAGCCCCCTCCAGTCTCTGTCTAACTCTCTTTTACAGACATATCTGTCAGCTGCAGTTTCAGCCAGCTGGTAGGCTCAGCGTGAAGGGCAAATATTTACAGCTAAGCTGCTCCCCAGTAACTTAAGGAGAAATAGGACTTGAAAAACAGAGATTTGGTGGGTGGTGGTGGTGGATGTTTAATCAGAGTTAAAAAGCCTCTACCAAGTTTCCTTGCTCTTTCTGGTACTGTCCTTTTTTGGGGGGGGGAAGCAAGTGCAACTCATTTCATATCCACAAAAAGTAGGGTTGCCAGGTCTGCTTCCAAAAAATAGCGGACAAGCGGGGGGGAGGGGTTAAGTAGTAAAAAAAAGTAGATTGTACAGCTTTAGATTACATACCATTTCATCATAAAGCTTTTGAATAAAAAAAATAGTGAACATAATGTGAAAAAGTGGATTGTCCACTCAAATAGTGGACACCTGGCAACCCTAACAAAAAGTTGCCTTTGTGGTCTTCTTTCCTTTACACAATTAGTTTATATTGTATACACTTCTTATCAAACTTGGGTCTTTTTTTCCCTTGAAACAATAGTTTCCTCAATCATGACTGTTTTTGAGGGGTTTTCATAGTTTTTTCCCACCACCATCAAAGTTGAGTGTCAACTTTCTTTGGTCATAGTGCCTGGGAATTATGGAAGTCAAAGTTTACTCATCTGGAGACCCTGGATTGAGGAAGGCTGGTAGAGAGTTTGAAATATTTTAATGTTTTGATCATAGAAGGAAAATACTTCATGCCATCTTTTGAAATGATTTAATGTTTTGATTATAGAAGGAAAATACTTCATGCCATCTTTTGAAATGAAGCCAAGAGGCTTGCTTTTTTTAAATTCATTTTATGATCATTTGGTCAACTTACTATCGCAAGCCATACATTTAAATTTAAAAAGTTGCTAGAGTTCTCTAGAAAATCTTTAAGGCCATCAGCATTTATTACTGTAAACCATCAGGAGTTCATGCAGATTACAGTGTATATAAATAGAACGAATTAGTAAATAAATAAATAAAAGTGAAAGCATAAATGATGACTCTCTTAAGGAAAATAAAAGATAACCCAGATCAACATTTCTTTCTCACTTCTCTCCAAAAGGAAATGTTGATACCGCAGTTGGGATGATATCACTCAGGGTGATAGCAGGAATTGGTAATTATGTAGAAAGATCACCATGTAGCTTTGGTAACAGCTGCTTCTCATTATGTTACAGAGTGTGGCTGTCCATTAACATATCTAAGTTCATCTATTATCAAAGGCACATGTGAAATCTGCTTTAGAATCTTGAGAAAGCAGAATGATAAAATGGAGTTTGTCCCTTGTTGCTTGCAAGATTCTCTTGATTGCTACCCTAATGAATGATCTATCTTTTCACTTCAAAATGCCTAGAGAAAGAAAATGCAACTTTAACGGGCTTCTTGTAACTGAACATTGGTTCTTAATTATTTAACTCCAAAGTTGCCTACAACTAACATTCTCTGACTTGATGGGAAATACTCGTATCAGTAAATGTTTGTAAACAAACTAAAACACACACACAAAAGGACGATGCACTGCAATGCAATATAGTAATGGAAGGGTCAATGTAGTTTTCTTGATTGCAGGACAGACGTGCCTCACCATTGCCTTCTAAGATTGACTTCTCATTCTAGCCTACTGAGTACAAAATGTGACATTCCTGGGGGAAAAAAGTCTTTGCCTAGCATAAATATATTATATATATTTAGCCCCCATGTTTTACGAAGGATGGAGACAAACTGGAGCATGTCCTGAGGATGACAACCAGAAAGCTAAGAGGTCTCTAAGAAAACAAAAGGACATGTTGGAAATGTTGGGTGCATTTAGCATGGAGAAGAGAAGACTGTGGGGAGACATGATAGCTTTCTTCAGGTATCTGACTATCTGTATTATAGAAGATGGGATAGGATATGGGTCTCCATACCTGGGTTAGGTTTTTACTGATCCACTGTTTTGGTTGCTACTAATTTTAGAGTATATAAAAGGCTGTGGTTTCAGATCAAGGTAATATATGTGGAGTTCTTATCTGAGAGCAAAAGGGAACAAATGCCCAGAAATTTGAAGTTTCTTCAACTTGCTTCCACCGGTAAAATTGACGGTTCTTAAGGAACTGTTTTAAATAAACTTTTAATCCAATCATTTTTACTAGAAAAAGTCAATATTGAAAGAGTGCAAGAAGTAATTGTTCCGTATTGCCGCATTTACTCTGTGGGATAACTAAGACTATGCCAAAGTAACTTGATGGTAATCCAGCAAACCTCAGTCATCATTGTGGTCTCCTTGTAAAACTAAATTCATAGGGGTAATTCTATGAGCTATAGCAGACATGTCAAACACAAGGCCCGGGGGCCGGATGTGGCCCGCGAAGTGGTTTCATATGGCCCGCAAAGCCAGTGAGGGAACAGCCCCCGTTGCCTTGGCCCTGGCCCAGGCTGGCCGGGAGGGAGCCAATGTACAATTTTGTGGTGGCCATCTATGCTGAAATGCATTCAGTCTTAGCTCCACAAGGCCGTCTGGAAACAGTGAGGAACCAGCCCCTGCCATGTCGACCCCGCCCCCTGGGTGCATGCTGGGGAGGTGTCACCTTTTGTGAGGAATGAAGAAATGCACCATCACCTGGAAGTGGTCCTGGTCCCATCCCCTTCTGCCAGAGACCCTCAGATCTGTCCCACTCCTGCCCAGGCCCCCACAGGCACCCTTGACGCGAACGATGTAGAGCTGGCCACGCCCTCCTGGTAGGCCACACCCACTCCATCCACGCTCACTCAGGCCGCACCCACCCTGGCCACACACCCCCGCCCCCCCGAGGGCAACCACAATGCTGATACGGCCCTCAATGAAATTGAGTTTGACACCCCTGAGCTATAGCATCCAGGATCCACATTCATTTTCAACATACAACTTTATGTTCTTTTTTTTTTTTAGTTTTCTATTTTGTGGAATTTCATACCTTCATTTGTATATTGCTGATACTTTGATGTTGATAGGAAACTTGTTGTCTCCTGATGTTTCTATAATCCAAGCTAGCCTTCTGCTTAGGGTATACCACCAAGTTCTTCTCTTTTTGCTCCCTATCCTGGATTCCTAAAACCAAACTTTCTTACCAAGTATGATGCTATTAATATCTATACACTGATCTTATGTAAGTATTTTTCCTTTTTTAAATTTATGGTCCTGCTCTGTCCCTCAATATGAGCTTCAATTGCTGATTTGCTTTGGGGTCAACCTTCTACTTTATTTATTTGATCCATTTCTATGGCGGCCCATCTCCATTAATGACTCTGGGTAGCTTGCAGTTACTTTCTTCCATGTTAACTCTTGCCATGAAACCAGTGTCTGAATACCTAGATCTAAAGTTTGGATACCTGATAAGGTTGTAAAAAGCAGATAGCTTCTATAGTTTCTTATACGTTTTTTTTTATATTTGTTATTAGAATATTGGAATAATAGAATTAGATCTTTGAGGTCCCATTCTGAAATGCGCAATTGTGAGCAAAACGTTATATGCATTTCTCAATCTGTTTTCATAAGTGCGCAGATACAGAATGATCTCATCACTGGGACATGTAATGTCTAAATTGTCTTTTGGTCTTGTAACAGGGCTGGGGCATTATTAAATTACCCAACTGGACACTTGCTATTTTCTTGCTCAAAGTCTTTGATAGCTCTGCAGCAATGTTTTCATCAGATTTATGGACACAGCTGGATAATATGACTGTTTGTTTTCAGCCTGCCCACAAAAAGGCGTTTATGTAGTTTTCAGAAAAAGGCAGCATGTAATCTGCAGAAAACCCAAAGGTGTCAAGTCACCA